CTATGAGTGAACTTCAAACAAAACTGGTATCTTACCCAAGGGCTGAACCTTTTCAGGTGCCAAGAGAAACCATCTGAGAGACAAGACAGAACTTTAACCACACTCAACGAGTTGCTTCTTTTTTTAGGGGGGTTGTTTTTTGAGTTGCTTTCTCTGGCTGTCCTGAACTCCCCTTTGAGGACCAGGTGGGCCTTGCCTGCCTCTGCCTCCAGAGTGCTGGGATTAAAGGAGCAGCCACCATACCCGCCCTGCTGAATGACTTGCTTAGGTTTGACTTGTTTTTAGAGTACCTCTTTCCTCCTAATCTTCCTGCTTAAACCTCTATTGAAATAACTTTAACATAAAACCTCCAACTCAGCTTCATAAACTGGCTAGCCTGGAAGCCTGCTGAGAGTTTGAGTCCTTAAAACTAGAGGACATCCTCAGACTGCTGAGGGTGGCTGACAGCAGGGAGCTATGCCTCTTTGACCTGTGTCCCTCAAACACTGACATAAAGACACAAATACAATGAAAATGTGGGACTGTGGACCATGGTAGGGGAATCTGAAGAGATGAGAGTACCAGAGGAGAGTTCTGGAGGAGGAGCAACAGTCACCTAGTCAACTCTCTAGCAGATCACATGATTGGGGGGGGGCACAAGCTGGGAAGCCAAGCACCCTGGACTGGAGCACCCAAGGAAACACTTGACTCCTTAGCTAGAACACTATGGACTTCTAGAGAATGCCTTTCAGTGTCATCTAGCTGTCCTTTACAGCTGCTGCCACATCTACCTCAGAAGACAGTGAGTCCAATAGTGGCAAAACAGCAATCAGCAGGTCCAACCAGAAGACAGTGTTGAGAAAGACACACTTCTCTGGGGGGGGGCAGCTGAGGATCAGGGACGTGTAGAAGAGGTCATAAGGTTCACTCTATAAAGAGGTGCCCTAGCAGATAGATTGCAGCACGGGGAAGACCATAAGGGTAGACGGGTGGGGTTTCAACATCGGGTCCTCTTTGCCCACTGTCTAAGAGGAAAACAAGCAAAACTTGGGCTGCCAAAGAGCCTGTAGTAGGGCCAGGCCAGGCCTGGATGCAGCCTACATGCAATGCCTACATGCAATGCAGCCAACCCAGTAAAGCCCGTACCAGGCACAGGAATGACCCAGCACTTACTGCCTATTCTGACATACTGTGAGGCCTTAGGCTTCACAGCAGGCTTCAGGGTGAGAGGGGGCGACATGACTAGACTCCACAGCAGTCGTGACACTGGAGGCTGTAGCCCTCCACCCTGCAACAACCACGCAGCTCCCTGTCCCGCTAATCTAGCCTCTTACACAGCAAATGTGCTCCTGTCTGCACCCAGTGTGATTCCCTGTCCGCACCCAGTCCTGACTGGGATAATCAGTACCGTGTGGGCTGCTTTTAATTGTCAGAGAAGGTCTGGTCTGTCTGACCAGAGTCCCGAGTCAGGCCGTTTAGTTTCCAATATACGCGTGTAAAGGGGAAACTAAGTCAGGAAGAGAAAGGGCGAGCCGCCTCGTCCTTGACCAACCTGGTCCAGACAGCCTTCCAGGAGCCCAGCGCCGGACCGTGGGTCAGCCCTACCAGAAGAGCAGCCTGCCAGCCCCAGCCTCCGGCCGCACACTCACCGCCTCCGCAGCCGCCGACTTCCGGGTGCCGCACCCGCGAACCACAGCCGCCAGCCCAGGACCCGCCCAACCCATCACCAGAACGCTTGCTATTGGGCGCAGCAGCGAAGGGCGGAGCGGCGCACCTACAGCCGGGGCTTTGTTGGCTGTGCGTGACGTCGCTCAGAGACTCGGCGCTTCGCCCCCACAGCTGCGCCAAGACTGGAACTGCGCCAAAGCTGGGGCTGTGCGGGCGTCTGTTTCCTTCATGCTGCCACAGCAACCCCAGCTTGCGTGGAATGTCTGGGAGATTGAGATAGCCCGTGAACTCCGAAGGATTCAGGCGCCAGAACCGCCGTACCTAGGCTGTGTTCTGGTCTTAACTTCTAGATCTGTCCCGGATAGCGCTCCCTTCCCTTTGTCGCCTCCAGTTCAGTCCAGACTGTCTGTCTCTCTGTCTCTGACCCCTTATCTATTGCAGTACTAGCGATAGAAAGCACCTACGAAGGCCGGGCGTCGGTGGCACACACTTTTAATCCTAGCACTCGGGAGGCAGAGGCAGAGGCAGGAGGATCTCTGTGACTTCCAGACCAGCCTGGTCTACAGAGCGAGTCCCAGGACAGCCTCCAAAGCAGTACAGAAAAACCCTGTATCAAAACAAACAAACAAACACAACAACAGCAAAAAACATCATTGAACTTGGACTTTTGCTCCACCTTGCCTTCCTAGTCTTTGAATGGATATGGAGGCTGTCCTGTAGATCCAGACCCCAAGGATAAGGAGTTGACCATGACTGAACTATGCTTGGGCAATGATTGGGGCCTTCAGAACAGGATCGAGGCATTCACTGGGACTTTCTGTGCCCATTAGCATCAGGCTTCAGTGGCCTGAACATCACTAAGGTCTAAGGTGGAACATCAAAGACCCTCCCCAAGATGAATACTCAATAAAATGACAAGGATGACAACTACAATAAGGACAATGCTAATGTACTATCAACCCAGAGTGTTGACACCCAGTTCTCAATCACTCCACTTTATAGACATAAACATAATTGCTCAGAGCAGTTAAGCTATTCGGTTGAAGTAAAATAAAGGGCTAGCAAGATGCCCATGTGAGTATATATGTTTACTGTCAAACCTGAGTTCCATCCCTGGAACTTTAAATTGTCCTCTGGTCACCACATGTACATTGTGATGCATATACACTAAATAGAATAAACACATTTAAAAATGCTAAGTGGCAGTGATGTACAGAAGCTCTAGGTACCACAGCCCCAAACTGCAATGCTGATGTTTTGCAGAAAACTGGAACTCAGACAAGCAAAAGCAAGGCTGTAACTAGACCCAGTTGGGGGCGGGGGCTGTTATGCCCTTCTCTCTCACTGTATTTCTCCTGAGAGCCAATGGAAACCATTTTCAAACAACAGAACAGGACTCCACACACCATGACTCATGGCCAGCAGGTGGCAGACAGAGCTAAGCACTTCCATTCTCCAGTTTAGCAATCCCTCTGTGCTAGAAATCTCCCCTGTGCAGCCAGACCACTTGGTCTACAGCACTAAGAAGTAATAGTGGTGGGCAAGTAGGATATAGTCTTGGGGATAAATTAATATGGCCTGGTTATGGGCCAGTAGATACACAACAGTTTGTCTCCAAAGCACCAAGCCATGAAACTTGGAGTGGGACAAGCTTTCCCATCACTAACAGAGATGCAAGAACAGGCAACAGATGACCTGTGACCTGATTTGCATCCTTGCCCCTATTTTTGTTAAACAGTCTCCCCCATTTGTCTGGCTCATTGCTGTCCCACCTCCAATTGTACATTCCTCAACACTTTTTTTTTTTTTTTTCAGCGTCTCACTACATAGCTCTAACTGTCCTGGAACTCACTCTGTAAACCAGGCTGGCCTTGAACTCACAGAGATCCGCTTGCCTCTGCAAAGCACCACCTGACTCCTGACCACTTTTTGTAACTTTTCAGTCTGTAAGTGCTGACTACTTCGGAAGTTCTTCCTGACACACACCTTCTACCTGTGGCTTTCCCTTGCCATAGAGCTGGCCAGCAGCTGGCTAGACAGGGTGAGAAGGGGTAGAAACACTAAACTATTGACACCTATGATCTTCTGCTCCATTTTTGACCCCTGCCTGGTAGGCAGACTGCAAGATAACAACCCGAGACCTACCTGAACCATCTCTACCCACCCTGGTCTTTGTTGTGCAGCAGATAGCCAGACTCTAAAGTAGACAGGTCTGTGGAAGGGGGCATTCCCAGCTTGAGCTAATTTAGGAGGAATGCCTTCCTTTTGCCCTCTTCCATCAGAGAAATGACATGATCAGCCTCTTTTGTACCATCAGTAAGTATGCAGGAATAGTGGTACAGAACTTGAGGTTTTCAAAAGGGCTCCAGGATGCCTAGGGGTCCATGCCTTTGGAGACATGCCAGAGGACAGCTGGGCTTACTAAATCCACTTCCAGTGGAGGAAAGAGAACACCCCACCACACAGCAACTTAGCCAAAATGGCATCTGTAGTGTTGCTCTACATAGCTTTCTGGGAGGACCCTGTTTTTTTGTCTTCCCAGAGATGCAACAATATCTCAATGCCAGGATGACAAATGGCTTTCACTTCAAGTGCCAATACCAACAAAATAGTAGCAGCAACTGCCTTGACTTTGAAAAGCTCCTGGAATCAGCTTTTATTGCTAGAGAATATGTGGACCCAGGTAGACCCAGAAGTGAGATCTTACTCCAGACTACTTGCTTTGTACTTGGCAAGCAACCATTATTGGGTGAACATGCTGGACTCAGGATAGGTGGGTAAAATATGACTGTCTGGGTACACACACACACACACACACACACACACACACACACACACACACTGACCTCCATTAGCACTGTATGTAGGGGCCTTGGAAACACACACAGCCCAGAAGTTACTCATTTTCACATGCACCCAGGGCATGAAAGGGTTATAAGCAAGCACAGGCCAGATTCATCTCTGCACTTCCATCCCCTGTTTACAGCATCCTTGGTGGTTCCCAGCCCCTGCCTTATATCACTGCAGAGATAGGGTTGGTGTTCTCTACCTGGCAGGGAAATGTGTGTTAATCTTTCCAGGCAGTGGATGAAGTTCCTTGATGTTTCCCCAATACTCACTCAAAGGAGTGCAGAGGAAATGTTGACACCAGGGTGGGATGGGGAGAGATAAACACATAATTTCCCCTCTCCTAAGCTGAGAACTCTGTCAATTCCCCCAGAAAAAAAGCAGCCTCGCGCAGCATGGGGAGTACCTAAGGGTTTGACAGAAGAAACAAACCCTAGTTTTATCAGAGTCTTGTTTTGTCCTCGAAATCACTGCCATCATCTCCACCCCTTGCCAGCCTTGCTAACCTTGACTGTCCTCGTTGGGGCAATGAGAGAGCCCCTGGAAGTCCGACGACTGGGTTCACGCCCTGGTCTCTTAAAACAAGCAAGAACCTCTCCGATCTCAGTTTTCCATTTGTAAATTGGTGCAGCAGTCCAACTCTCCTTATAGGAGAAACACCATTCTATGTCAATAAAAAGGGGTCGACACTCGGTGTCGGCAAATAGCAGGCACTAAAGGATACCTGCGAACTGGGGGTGGTGATGGAGACTACGCTGCTGGAATCTGGGAGTGACCGCTGGCTCAGCGAGCTCGGGGCCTATTATCCGGAAAAGTCCTCTGAAGGCGGCCGGGAGGGGGCAGCTCCGAATCTTCTGTCTCCACTGCAACCGTGGCATTCGGCGCAGGTGTCAGGGACTCGTCCTGCTCCACTAGGGGGCCGATCTTCCGCTAAGACTGACAATACCGGGAGCCCAACGGCAAGCTGCAATCTCTGCACATCCATCCAATCCGTGCGGGTTGCGGGCCGAGTCTCTCTACCAATGGGAAAATTCGCGGTTGGATTGGGCGGGGCGGAGGCCTCGTAGCCTACTAGGTCCGCTCTGCGCACGGTCCGCGGGAGGGGCTGGAGGGTAGTCCGCTGGCCGCTCCGGGTAGGGGGATCCCCCCCCCCCGCACCCGCACGAGTTGTGGCCCCGGGGGCCGTAGTCCATGCAGAGCGCTGGAGACGCCGCTCCGCATGTGCCGGGGAACCTGGGGACGCCAGTCTTGGGGGCGGAGGCCGCGCTGCGGAGCCACCCACGCCGCGCTCCAGGTGAGCTTGGCTGGGTGGGCGGGTCCAGTTGGGGCCTGGTGTCTGGGGCTAGACGGTAGCATCTCCGCTAGGGCTTGGGTGTGTATGCTGGGGAAGCGGGCTGGGTATAGTATAGCTTGCGACGCGGACTAGGGTAGGGACGGGGTCCTGGGCTCGGACTGAAGGTCTGGGTGCGGTTTAGAAGCCAGTTCCTCTGCCTGCCATCTCCTCGCCCACGCCCGGTCTCCAGAGACCTGGGGTCGCTGGGGGCGGGTTCCTTTGTGCATGACCTCGGTGACCTGTCCGATTTGGCCAAGGTGCCAGCTTCATGATACCGGACTTCGGACTCAACACGACCCAACCTCTGCAGCCTTGTGCTTCGCGAGCCATCGCAGCACCTGGAAGCCAGGACCTGGCAGCTACGGAAACTTTACAGGGACCCAGAGGCGGCGAGGCTGGGGAACTTCCTCTGGTGGGGTGGCACGGCCGTTGGTGAGCGAAGGGCCTTGGCGATGCCAAGGGGATGTCCCCGTACAGCGCTGCTCATAAGGCCTCATAAATGGGAGCAGAGGCGTTGCTGGGAATCCCTTGTCTGGTGTCTGCTTGTATCTCCTCCTTAGATACCCCTATATTCCTCATGGGACGCCGGCCCTAGACAATCTGCAAACCTGAAGTTGCTCTGGGTACCCTGGCTTTCCCCTTTTAATTTTTAAATAATGCACCATTTAACTATTTGCTTCAGTGTCAGGTATCGGAGTATCTAGGGTACTAGGGAATTCTTGCTTCTTCCCTGTAGATTCAGACATTTAGAAATGAGGGAAAAGAAATAAATGCTCTCATTTGTGTTAACTTTTAGGTTAGACTTTAATCTTTTTAATCCATATATCTTTACTTACAAGTGTTCATTGCAGAGAGTCATCGGTCTGGTTTGAGGCCCTTGGTTTCTGCTATACTATCGATTCTGGGTCCTCCCTCGCTGACGAACTTCTTGGTTATACTGCTGTTAGTCTAGACTCTTAATATGGGCCAACATTCTGAGATGCATGGTACACACCTACTCTTATAAGACCAGGGGATGGAGCCATGGCCAGGTTGTCTTTAGGAAGAGTGCACTGACAGCCTCCAACTCCAAATGATCCCCAGCCCCTCTACCTCTCCTCTGCTCTAGGATCCAGGCTGTATCTATCTGGTTCATCTAAAGCAAGTGCTATCTGCCCTGGGGAGGATCTCAGTATCTGTGAGTCTGGATGGTGATAGATACCAGGACTGTTGGAGACCATGTGTTCTGAGGCTATGTCTGCTTCAAAAGCAGGTGGTTCAGATATCTGGAAAGGCCACAACCTACAGCTTTGTGTCATCTGAGGTACCTGCTTCTTGCTGTTTACACCAAACCTTCATTTGGGGTTCTTTAGGGCCCATCACATAAGGGAGCATGAAGTATTTGGCTCTAATGACAGAGGTACTTCTGAGCAAAGCCAAGCCAGTGCCTTCTAGCTGTGCCATCCTCATGACTTTTCTGTACATATACTGGTGATCAAGGTTCTCTTGCATGAATTGGACCCAGCCCTTAGTCTCACTATGTCCCAGCTGCTGTATCCCTCCCACCCTTAATCTGTGCTCTTTGGCTCCTTACATTCTTATCTTCTCCCCCCACCCCCACACACTCACCCTTTTTCGTAGCCTCCATAAGAATAAGGCTGTAACTTGTCCTTGTTTGTGCCACTCAGGGGTTCAAAATTACTTCCTTTTATCCCCAGATTAGCCTGGAGCTCTTCCCTGATACTTAGCTGGAAAGCTAGAACCTTGCTTCTTTTTGTGCTGGGGAGGAGTCAGAGATCCTGGGACAAAGCTTCTTGGCATCCTGGAGTGCTTCTTGCCCTCTGAGTGCCACTTAAGGACTACATGGTGGTAGGCCCAGAAGGACAATGGTGGATGGAAATGGTTTTGCAGTAAAGTTCAGTTATGGGCTGTGCATCAATGTCCATGGCAGCAGTTGGTGTGTTCATGTGATAGGACTGGAAGGGTGGTTTTGCTGTGGTAGGTACCAGTCACTGAGAAATATGAACTGTCTCTGCCTTGTGGTTGACGGTCTCTCTGTGCCCACACTGACTGCTGGAAGGGCATGTTCTCTTGCCTTTTTGTTTGTTTTACTTTGCTTTGCTTTTGAGATGGTTTCTCTGTAGCTTTTGGAGCCTGTCCTGGACCTAGCTCTGTAGGCTGGCCTTGAACTCACAGAGATCCTCCTGTCTTTGCCTCTCAAGTGCTAGGATTAAAGGTATGCACCACCACTGCCTGTTTTCTCTTGCATTTTCAATCCTACCTTTACTCGAAGAGCCCAAAGAGACCCATGCAAGGCTGCATCCTGCTGAGGCTATATCACAATCAAGCTCTTAGGCAGGCCATCCTGATCCACACTGGGTGTATGTGACCCTAAGTCACCTGCTAATCATGCTTACTTAGTCTGGCCTGTCCCTTTGGTGGACTCAGCTTGTACCTGTGGGGACTCTCCACATAGTCAGCCTTTGCCAGTCTACAGCTTGCTGGTCTGGCTTTTAAGCTTGATCCAGGCTTGTATCCCAGTCTAAAGTCCTGTGTTTGGGTCAGTGGCACTGTAACACAACTGCAGACCTTCCCCAGAGTCTGAGTAGGTCTGTGGGTATAGGCAGGTGACTCTAGAGATTTAGATGCTTCGGTGAAGAAGCCCAATGTGTGTGCCTGGGAGCAGGTTATGACAGGGGTAGGCTCAGCCCATTCTCATTGGAGAAATGGAACATGGCAAAGTACCCAGTGGTCCTTGGCCAAATGGGTTACCTCAGACCTGTAGGCCAGTTCAGCAGGTTGTTCAAAGGCGTTCACGATGGGAATCCCCTGCTACGAGTCCCTTCACTAGGTCTGACTTTGTTTCACTGCCCTGTCCAGTATCTGCCGCTTCCTGTGTGTCTCCTGATTCAGGGCTTCTAGCAGGCTGGCTGGCCATAGTCACTCCATCCTGCCCTAACCTCTTGTACCATGCCCTGTGATGAGAGTACTCCTAGAAAAAGACCTGTCCCTCTGTTGGCCACTACCACCCTGCCTCCTGTAGCCACTCTGACTCTTGTTCTGCCTCTCTACCCTTCCCCTACCATTTTTCTTGGAGTCCCATATGGCAGGAGTCACTTTCTGGTAGTCATGCTATTCCCCACTGGTTGAGGGGGTATGAGAAGCCCAGGGAACAGGAAGATGTGAGTTCAGTCCTACCTGGCCTGGACCTGGTTTTCACAATTGTAAAATAGGTAATGCCTACCCAAGACAGTCAGTGGGAATCAGATGTTGGCTGGCCATTTATGTGGCCAAGGCTTGTGGTGGTGTGGCAAGTCCTAGGGAGAGACTTTTGAAGATCAGGACTGATAACAGTCACATGGGTCTCTGTGCGACAATATCTAGGTCTACATTTAAGTTAAAAGCAAAATTGTCAGCTGGGCGTTGGTGGCGCACGCCTTTAATCCCAGCACTCGGGAGGTAGAGGCAGGCGAATCTCTGCAAGTTCAAGGCCAGCCTGGTCTACAGAGCGAGTTCCAGGACAACCTCCAAAGCTACACAGACAAACCCTGTCTCAAAAAAAAAAAAAAAAAAAAAAAAAAAAAGCAAAGTTGTCCCAGAAAGGTCATATTTGGAGCAAGGACTTGTCACCCAGCCAGAGGCTTTACCTCTGCTTGGGGGAAGAGTTAGTGGACTCTATCCACAGCTCCTTCAATATCAGCAGGTCCTCCTGCCTCAGCATGTGCTGGGCTCCCCCTTGCCTTTGCTACTGTGTGCTGACCCTCACCCACACATTCCATGATTCCACTCTAATATTTAACTAGCTCTCTACTTCCTACTTGAAGCTTCTCTTGCTGAACGGCCTGGCAGCCTCTAACAACACAGCCTGGCCTGAATATGGCCACCAGAGGGCCTCAGGGACTGCTAGGGCAGCAAGCAAGTCCTCCCTGTCACCCACTTCACACTAGGTTGGATGGAATTCTTTCCCAGACGTTTGATAGGCTGTTGTGAAACAGAGAGACCTCTGAGATCAAGTAGATGGAGTCCATGGAGGAAGATTGGGCAGAGGCACAGAACAATCTGGAAACAGACCAGAGAGGGAAGAGTTCCCTACTTATATTGTAGTACCCCAGAGATGACTCCTCTGCTCAACCCTCCCTGACTGTCTATGCCATATAGGTTTTCTTTTTTGTGACATAAACACTCTGGCAGTGTCCCTAAGCTCAGGTATACCAGGAGGGAATGTGTTCCTAGGCTGTCTGCCAAGACTGGAAGTGGTAGTTCCACGGTGCCATTGTGTGCAGAGAAAGCACCAGTACCACCTCATGCCACACCCCAACCGATACACTGTGAGCACTCCATGCTCCAGGGCCAGGTGCTACAATGTGCCCGTCACCAGTGTCTTAGGAACTGGCAAGCTGCCTAAGGGTTGGAACTGGCTTTGAGGAGAGGTGGATGTCATCCCACAGGTAGGTATGGGCTGAAGGGGGTTGGACACAACCCTACATGGAACAACAAGGCCTTAGTAAGAGAGGTTCTCCTTGAACTGATTTTGAGAATATACCAGATGCAGCCTTCTTGGAGGAGAAAGAGTCCACCATCAGTCCACTTCTGTGACCTCAGCCTCATTAGAAGGGAAGTTGACCTGAAGCAAACAGGAAAGTGCATGCAGTGTGTGCTTGAGTCAGGAGTACCATAGGGCAACCTTAGAATCAGACATGCCAAGTGACCTGCTTGGGGGAGAGTCTAGTGTGCCTGCATCCAGAAGGGACTGACTCCAGGGTGACTTCACATAGTGTCCTCTGGTTTCTCTACAGGAACAGAGTCCACAGGATGGGTGTTAGGACATGCTGAGCTCCCCTGAAATAGGTAAGTGGCCTGTGTTGCTTGGGATAGCAGTGTCTTGGTGGGGTTGGTGGATGTGGTCAGTTGGGGAATGATCTGGCCCAGGTAATGTGTACTCTTGTTTGCTTAGCTATTGGGGCCTGCCATGCCAGCTTGGATTTCCCAGTGGCTCAAGTGTACATAGCAGCCACCAGATTGATGTCTGTCTTGAGGATGAGCGCACAGTGGGATTGACCTACCAGGATGCTAAGCATTGTCAATGAGGACATTAGCTGGGTCTGATCTCTGTCCATCTGGGGTTGGATACCAGCCATGGTGGTATCTGGTGTCACATAGCCTCACTGGCCTAGAGCTCAGCTCAGAGGTGTTTCTGACTGCCCAGGGGAGAATGAAGCTGGCCACTGCTGATAAGCCCCAAAGCCTGGCACTGTTAACTTCATCTGCAAGGTGAATGAATCTTGCAGTTTTGTGTACCTGCTGTTCTCTACAGCCTCACCACTCTGCCCTACAGGGTAACAAGGCAGGTAGAAGAATTCTGCTCTATCATAACCTTGCTGTGTAGACTGACTTAGCTGGGGTGCTTTTCTGGTTTGGATTCACCTGAATTATAGTTGCCAGCTACAGTGGCACAGACATTTGATCCCATGTGATGCCCAGGAAGTGTGGCAGGTGTGTGGCAAGGTTGTTCCTGTGTTCCCTGGTACTCTGAGTAGAAGAGACACCTGAAAGTGATTTCTCACCGAATAAACATCAATCAACCTATATTGTGTCCCAAAATCTTACTTCTCACGCAATGGAGGGACACTTGGAGCTAAGGTAGAATGGGCTGTGTGTCCCCCATGCTCCCTTTAGTCACTTAGCATACACTCACTAAGCACCATGCCAAGCATTGGCAATGCATTTGAGGAGTTCTCAGCTCTCTGAGGAGATGAACAAGGACAATTGCAAATGTGGGGTTGTGAGATGGGAGTAATACTAGGAGCTCCCCAGGAGGAAGAGCTGAAAGATACTCGATGCAAGGCCTGGGTAATAATTTAACCTTCACACAACTAAACCAGCTTCTGCCCTTCTCAGAAATCTGCACCAACCTGGTAGATTCCACGCCAGGGCTCTCCTGAGGTGCTCATAGCTTTTCCAGCCCTGAGTTCAGTCTTTAGTGTTAATGTTACCCATTCTCTGTTCACCTCTCAGCTTCCTGCACATTTTTCTCAACTTTTAGGTTTTTGTTTGTGGCAGTTTTTGATGTTCAAAATTTTTCATACTCATAGCAAAACATCGAATGTTTTCCATTGTCTTCCCTGGCCTGGCTAGGTAGTGTCTCTTTCTTCTACTAGATGCTACTGCGTTAGGCTTTTACACTCAAGATCTAATCCATCTCCAATTTATTTTGACATAAATGCAAAGTGAAGCTTTTACTTTGTTTTTCCCACTGCATCTGAACTATTTCTTTCCTAGTGTCTTCTGTCAGTAAAAGGGAAAGTTGTGCTCCTCTGGCAGAGGAGACATGATCAGAAAGGCCGTTTCCCAGGGTGAGACTCCTCCCTGTACTCGGGAGGTGCTGACCCCTGCTACTTTCCTCAGTTCACGAAACTCAGTTGCCTAATTTGTAGTAGTGGAAGGTTGTGTTCACCCAAAAAAGGTGTGTTGTGTGTGGAGGGATATTGCTGTGTCATAAAGTTCTCAGATTTGCTGTCACTGGTGATACATTCAGTCCCTAGCCAGTGTTCATTGCTGTCATGGAAAGACCAAGAATTGGGTGTGGGAAGATGGCTCAACAGGAGTATTTTGCTGCTCAAGCCTGAGGACCTGCCTGAGTTCAAATCCTCAATATGGTTATAACAAGCTGATATTTACATGCTTGACTCTTTAATCCCAGTACTGTGGAGGACAGAGACAAGCATCACTGTATATTTATTGCTAGTCTCCCGGCTAGCTCCAGGTAGAGAGCAGCCTATCAAGAGATAAGGTGGAGAGCAATAGAGCAGGCTCTTAATGTCCTCTAGCCTCTCTGTTCACATAGGTGTGCATGTGTGTGCACACATATTTATTGTTTTTGTTTTTTGAGACAGGGTCTCGATGTGTAGCCTTAGCTGTTCTAGAACTTGCTATGTATACCAGACTGGTCTCAAATTCATAGAGACCCACCTGTCTCTGCCTCCTGAGTGCTGGAATTAAAGGTGTGTACTGACTTGCATATATATTTTTATAAATGCCTACTGGTCTTCTGTGTGCTCCCTTCCCTGGTGTCTGTGTGGAAACCCTGGAGCTGGTGCCACTTGAGCAAGCGGTGAGACTTGTGGTATACTTGGAGACTGTTGACTGAACACAGGACCTGGCCCCTGTTGTGGTGGGGCCTATTCCAAAGCTTCTGAAGTACCCTGGTTCTCCTTACAGGTGCCTGGCCCTAAAGTGACATGTGCTGGTGTTGACTAGTGATCTTGCTAGAGCTTCAGGGTCTGAACAACCCTGCAGTGAGGTGTGAAAAGCTTGTGTGGATCTTCAGGTGGTGGAGGTCCCTTGCAAAAACAGCTTTGTTCTGCCTTAGGTGATCACTGTCGCCATCCTCAGGGGTGATGGGGCTCTGGAATCCTGGTAATCTAAGGTTAGAGGCACTTCCAGGCTGGGCCCTCAAATAGTTCCAGTTTGAATCCCAGCCCTAGGGGTGAGTGTGCTCATTTGAAGTGGAAAGATCCACTTTTTTTTTTTTTTTTAAAGTTAGTTTCAGTGGATCTTTTTAAAAAATTCATCTATTTATTTTACATCCCAGCCATAGCTCCTCCCACTTCCTCCCCGCCCCAGTCCCTCTCCCCCTATCTCCTCTTCTGTCTCCATTCAGGAAAGGGCAGTATCAGTAAAACATGGCATATCAAATTGCAGCAAGACTAAGCATAAGCACTTCCCCCTGTATTAGGCTGAGCAAGGTGACCTAGTATGAGGAGTAGGACCCCAAAGGCCTGTAAAAGAGTCTGAGACAGCCCCTGTTCCCACTTTTAGGAACCCCACAAGAAGACCAAGCCACACAAATGTCACATATATGCAAAGGACCTAGGTCAGTCCCATGTAGCCTCTTCGAGCCCCTTTTGATCCCAGGTTTAGTTGACATTGTGAGCCTTCCAGTGGTATCTCGACTTATCTGGCTTCTCCTCCTCTGCAGGATTGCCAGACTCTGCCTAGTGTTTGGGTGTGGGTCTCTGCTTCTGCCTCCATCAGCTGTTGGCTGACACCTCTTTGATGACAACTGGTCACAGGAGATGGCCAGTACAGACTTATCTCCTATTGCTAGGAGTCTAACCTGGGGTCCTCCCCCATAGATTCCTGGGAGATTTCCCTGTGCCAGGCTTCTGCTCAACCCCAAAGTGGCTCCCCAGAATTCCCCCAGCATTCTCTCCCTCCATATCCCCCCAGCCTGATTGCTCATGTTCTCATCCCCACCTGCCCTCAGTCCACTCATGAAATCTGGGAAGAACTACTTCTAATCTGGATCTTTGAGGTGGGAAGACAAATTTTTACCAGATCTTTAGAGGTGGGCCATCAGGGCCACACCTTCTGCTGAGCTCTGTGTGACATGGAAGAGAGAAGTGCTCTATTTTGCCTTCTCGAGCAAGTCCACTCCTTCACTTGCATTAGAACCTACTTCTTTGGATTCCAGCATACACTGAAGATCATCTGAGACATCCAGTCTCATGGACTGAACATTTACAGATTCTTGGATCTTCTGTTCATAGTCAGCCATTGTTGGATTAGCTGAACTCCATCGTCTGTAAGCCATTCTAATAAATCCCATATATGTATTTGGGGTGTGTGTGTGTGTGTGTGCATACACGTGCCTGCATGCGTGCAAAGGTGTGTATCCCCATATATAATAAATATCTATATCTATATCTATATATGTATATAGAAAGGGAGGAAATTGATTCATTTTGTAAGTTCTGTTACTCTAGATAACCCTTACATACACAAAGATGACAGTTGGCTTTCAGCAGTTCTCAACCTGTGGGTCTCAACACCTTTGGGAATCATATCAAATACCCTGCATACCAGATATTTACATTATGATTCATAACAGTAGCAAAATTACAGTTATGAAGTAGCAACAAAATAATTTTATGGTTGGGGTCACCACATCAACATGAGGAAGTGTACTAAAGGGCCACAGGTTAGAAGGTTGAGAACCACTGCTTTGTTGACTTAACACCTGGGAAGATACTGTCAGTGAGGCATTGTCTACATCATTAGCTGGCCTGTGGGATGTCCTTGGGCAGGTTGTCTTAACTGATATGGGAAGGTCCGGTTCACTGTGGGTGGCACCCTTTTGGTGGCAGGGTGTCCTGAACTGTCTGAGTAGAGAGATCAAGCTGATGAAGCCAGCAAGGGGTCACACATTTATTTCTCTCTGCTCTCAGCTGTGGATGTGCTCAGACTAGCTTGTCAAGTCCTGCTGCTTTAACCTCCCTGCACTAATGGACTGTCATCTGGAATTGTGAGCTAAAAGCAACCCTTTCTTCCCCACATTGCTCACTTTGTGTGTTCATAAGACAGGATCTCACTGTGTAGGTTGACCTGTATGCAGACCAGGCAGACTCTGCCTCCCAGAAATCCTTACTGGGATTAAAGGTGTGTGACACCAAGCCAGACCTACATTGCTTTTGCTCGGGATATTTTATCACAGCAAAAGACATGAAACTAGAAACTGTCACCGTCCCCTGCTCAGAGTGCCTTACAGTGGCATGGCATGTGCTTCCATCCAGTCTGTCCAGGTTGGCAGTGCTAGGCTACAGACTAAGGTTCTGCTGTTCTTGGGCAGGTGTCTCAGCTGAGTAGCCTTGCCAGTTGCCTTGGGATAGCTGTTGGGGTACCTCTCCCTACCCTGTGTTTATCTAGGCCCAGTCTCAGTGTTTCCTGCTTCAGTGGTGTGTTCACTCCAGCTGCAGCCCTGCCTACTGGTACTCTCTTTGGATAATCTGCCCATAAAGCCTCACACAGATGGGTGAGAGGGCCTTAGATGTTCATCCCTGGTCCAGCCT